AGGATTGACGGGGAGCCACGTTTTTCCTACTCCAGGCCGGGTTTGGCAGCCAAGCTTTTCCACTGGGGCTTCTATGTTAAAAAACAAAAAATAAAAGTGTTTGCAAGAAGGAAATTTCCTGTTTGACCCGACGCTTTCCCATCAGCTCAGATGATGAGCCTGTACCACGCCACTTTTTTATGATCTGGATGGCAGAGAGGCCAGCAGTGCGGGAAGCGAGCAAAAAGCTCCCCGTCCTTCCTGCTCTCCCTCTGCCCTGGGCCCCTGGGACATTTTCCAGCACCCTCCGTCCCAGACACCCCTCGCCCTGCGGAAAGCCCCACCTAAGCACCGAGCAGCGGCCCCAGCGGTGCCGGGGAGTTGTCCCCAAATACTTTATTCGCCCACCTGAACCAGTGAGGAGAAGCCAGCCCAGCTCATCGGCGCTGTCGGCGTGCTGCCGAGCGCCTTGGGTCGGAAACGGGGTGGTTTGCTCGGGTTTGCAGTCGGCTCACGTGGAGAACTGAACTCGGGTCGGGCCGAGATCATCGTCCCTCTGGCGGTTTTTGCTGTGCTTCGATGAGAAACCACCCAAGCGCCCTCCCCTAGGGTAACCCACAGCAAGGTGCTCTTTCGTCTTGCCTGCTCCGACGTTGGCGGGAAACATTTTCAAGGAGACCCCAAAGGAGCAAGGTTGGTGTTTGCAGAGGAGGCCGCAGTGGGGCAGACTCCTTCCCAAAACCACCACCACGCACTGTACAACAGTTACCCATTGATATATCGACCAACCTGTCCATCTAGGAGATGCCTTTGGTTTCAGGGTGAAGAGAAGGGCGCTGGTCTAGCCGCAGGGCAGAGCCCGGGGGCTGCTCCCTGGTGACATGCGGTGGCTTTGGCATTCCCCCAGCTGGGTGGTTTCTGCCCAAGAAGGTGTGACGAACCCTTCGCTATTCCTGGTACAGCCCTGCAGTATGGAAACACGGGGCCGGGCCCTTCCTCCCGCTTGGCCCCCGGCCTGGTCGTGGGGACTGATCTTTGCCTGTGGAACAACCACTCAAATCCCCTTCAGCTCCCCGAGAAAGGTTTGCCCAGCAGGAGCCGATGGAGGTCTCTTGGCCACCTCTCAGACTTTCTAAGAGCAGAGCAGGAGCCTCCGATACACGTGCTGGGACAGCTCAGACGAAGCCCACCGGGCCTCGAGGCATCAGGCGACGCTTCTGCACGGCCGTCCCCAGGGCCCCATCCAGCTGCTCCCCAGCTCCGCCAGCACCAACGTCAAGTCCCTGCTTCGGAGCATCATTCAAGGGTGGGAGCAGCGAGGCGAAAGCCAGCTCTGCCCCGGGCTGCCTGGGAAGCTCAATCCCATAACCCAGGAGAAGGGATCCCCCAAGGGAGACGTCCCAGCCGTCCCTGAGAGGGGGGCACCAGCTTTGCACCTCTCCCAGCAGTTCCTCCTGGCTGGTCTCTGCTGGTCCCTGCTCAGCTGTTTCGGCCCTCGCAGGGTGTCATCCCCCCCCCGCCGGGGACCCGCACACGTCGCACCGCGTGGGCAGCCCAGGGGGTGCAAACAGGCTTCGTTCCCCAGCCCCATGGATCTTCAGGGCTGGGGCTCGGTCCCCACCCTGCCGGAGCGGCCCTGAGACACCCCGTCGCGCTAGCCCCCGCCAGCTGCT